GCTGATTATAGGCAAAAACAATTCGGTTAACATGGAAGCATCTACATTCAGAAGTTGGAAGAATTAGATTCTAAGCAACAGATTTGATTACCTAGAAAAGATAAATCATGATATGCAATGTCACAACTATACAGATATTTTAAATACCTCAATAAAAAAACGGAGACAAACACTGATTTGTTTAATTACGGTTATGGTTAATCTTACAGTTTGTTTTCTATCACACCTGGGTATAAATTATATTCTTGGGTCTTTCGGTAAAGTTACGTAGATAGGTTCAAATTAAATAACAAAAATAACAAAAAACTACGACGTTTCGATCGCAACACAAGCGGTCGTATTTTTTTTCCTGAAAACGACCACTTGTGTTGCGATCAAAACGTCGTCGTTTATTTTGATTTTTTTTTGTTATTTTCTTTGAACCTATCTACGTGACTTTACCGAAAGACCCAAGAATATGAATTCCTGCAGTCACGAAAGCTTTAAGTCAAGATTTAGGAATACATTGTTTGTGAAAATCATATGGACAATTTACAGACCAATCAACCACATGAACAAGCTATCATCGACTACACACAAACTATGAATCAACATTTTTTTTAAATAATCATAAATGCCATATACCATTATGCCTTGCTCTGGTAGACTGTAATATGAATATTAAAAGGAAATTATTGTAATAGCTGAGACTTTTTATTCTCTATTTGAATACGCTTGTCTATTTGTTCATTATTAAACATTATTTACTACCACCGGTTGTTGTATTCGTACTATTAAAAGCATAAATTATTTCATAAAAGGCAAGGAAAACCATTGCAATGTATGCAGAAAACACAGAGTGTTTATAGAAATAAATTTCAAATACAGAATCGGCTTAATTTAACTGTGCATTCCAACAGGTAGTGTCAGCTTTACGTAAGTCAGCTTCAATCATACTTATTGTCATGTAGATGTCATTTATTGAATACTTACAATTTGCCTGTATGTATGTATGCGCATTTGTTGCATCTATTTAGAAGGAGGCAAAACAATTCTCTCTCCAAAATAGAAATCTGAGCACTGCATTGGCAGTGATGTCCAAAATCTAAATTACTTCAGCACTGATACATTGTTAGATAAGCACTTTACAGTTGGATTTTTTTAGACCATTATTATTGGATAGGTTTATGAGGAAGTACAATTAGTTTTGTCAGTGTTGCAAATCAATAATACGTGTTTAAAATATAGTATATGATTATTTTTAAAGTTAGCAATTGGGGTAATGTTTCATCAGCGTCGTCCCACTTAAATGTGCATTGGAAAGCCCTAACTACCAGTACGCAAGCCTTTGCTGAAAATTCCATGTTCTTATTACAGGGGTGATTAAATGCATTGGACAGTCATTGTTTACTTTCCGAAATATTCTACCTATCGAGTGCTATCCTGACCATTGAGGGTTTACGTCCAGAACAGAACCTTTCATGATATTCAGCCTCTCTCATTCAGAGTCCCATCCAACTGCTCACAATGTCCAACCATTCATTGCCTTCCTCTTCCCATCTTCCCTCCCATGATTTCCTTTGCAGAACCATCTTCATCATAACTATGGTTGACTCTCTCATGATATGTCCCACACATCCCACCTTCTCATCATACTTGCCAGTAACTCTTGCTTGCAGCCCTCGTCACATTCTCATTCTTCTTCTGATCACGCCAGCTTACTCGTTCAATTATTCTTTCACACCTTGTCTCAAATGCGTTTATTATTTTCATTTCATACTTCTGCAGTGTCCATTTTCCACAAAGTGACACTCATTTTATCGACCACCTCTCCTCTCCCCCAAGAGATGATATGCCGAGTCAATCCCTGAGTGGAATTACACGCACGGCCTTCCATGCATGAGCCACGCACTCCGATGACTGTGGCACATGGTTGGCTGATCATGTGTTAAGGGGGAAGCTGTTAAAACATTATTTTTTGTGAAGTGGAAATGGTGGGATGAAGTGGATTAACTGTTATCTATCAGTGTCCACTCCTCTAAGACGTAACAGCTTGAATGTTGGCCCTTGAAGGCACTTAAGACGTATGACCTACGTGTCCATTTAATGCAGCATTAGAGGGGTCAATGCCGTTTACTTGCGCAGTCGAGTACATTGTTATCGCACTCAACAGTAGGCGATCAATTAATTATGCAATCCTGCGAACATAGCACGTGTTTATAGGCAGCAATGGCGCGTACTTTTATTTTAAAACAAATGTGAAAAATTTAGGAACGCGATCCCTCCCTCGTCGTGAACGTGGGCATTGTTTATTTAAATTCCCACTGCGACCTCACAGCCTGTGTAGTTGAGAGGCCACCATTGATGTCATCTGACCATTTGAATAGTCGCTTCTGAAAATCTAAAAATATACACGTCTCTACATTTCCTCATTCTTGCTGAGAACGAGAAATTCCATGACATTGGTCCGTAACGCGTTCGTTTATTCCCCGCTGGATATTGAAATGATGACAGTGGCGCTGCCATGGGGCCATGGTCATGCGCACTTCACTTGCGATACAGAGGTCGCCCGTTCTATCTCCCGGCGCGACAGCTGCAACAACGGTGCAGGCTTCTTGAATCTCCCCGGCCCCTCTATTCGTGCTGCAGTAGGCACTGGGTGCACACCACTTCTTCCAGAGACGTCTGGCCTACGTGGAAGAGTAGGTCCAAATGAGCTCTCCAGAGCCCCCTCTTGTGGAGGCAAACTTCTGCCAGCAGTGGCGTGTGCAGGCAATTGCAGGGCTGCACCTTTGTACCCGTGAACGAGAGAAACGTTGTCACTCATTTCCCACTGCGTTAATATGACCACTGGCGAATAATGTTAAATTAAATAACACGTTTATTACATTAGTACTATTCATAGCCCAAAGTTTAAAATTAGATTGTAGCAGTGGGAGTCCTGAATGATGACTTGTCAATGTCAGAAGGCACGTTCCATATCCGTATCCTCAACAACTCGTGCACAAATGAGAAATGGTCAGGATGGCTTTTCACCAATGCAAATTTCAGTTTCCCCAAGATTCACCAGAAATTCTCACAGCATAGACAACCAACGGCAAACTAATAAGGCCGAGGACGGCTGTGCTCGGACTGAATGTGACAAGACACCACCACACTGATTGAATTCATACATGCGAACAGCTTTTTACCATTTTGGTTTATTCACATTAATTTTTAGGGTGGAGTCTCATTTAAATATTTTCAAGGCAAATTTTTTTTTTATAAAAAAGAAACGTATCCACTAACAGGATCACGTGTCGATATACGATATGGTATAAAAATGTATTACTCATAAGCAATTGCAACAGGGTTAGGCAAAGCCAATTATGAGACTGAATGTTTGAACAGAAATAATTCTCACAAAGACAAACAATATTTTGTAATCTTTCTCAAACAGACAAAAGTCAATGCTTAACCTTGTATCTTTCAGCAAGCACCACCTGTGTTAAGACGGGAATGAAACATGAAACACATTTCTAGCCATGAACCTGCCTGGCTGTCTTTGTCTTTCCAATGCAAATGAATAGACAAAACCTCAAGACATTCATCAATCGCACTTGATAAAAAATGTGCAGGGTAATTCAAAAAAATGTTAACACTGCCGAGAATTTGCAACAATGCCACTAGAACTGTGCCTCCGGCGAACAAGTAAAAATTAGGTTCTATATAAACATTGGTTATAACTGTCAATTAATATTAAAAATATCATTTTTTACTGCATATTTTGAAACCCGTGATTAAAAGCCGTTGTATAGATCAAGGGGGTGGCGGCGCGGTAGTTAGCACATTGTCCTATGAACGTGGTGACCTGAGAATGATTTCTGGCCACGGCCGACACCAGCGGCGAGTGTCTAAACTGGTCCTGCTGCTCCCCCTACTCCACCTTCATTCACCCACACTGGCCATAATGGTGAAGTATGGTGAAATGACCATGATCGAGGCCTTCATCCAGCAGTGGATTGAAAGAGGATTGAAAATTACTATCATTAGTATTAAGGACTTCACAAAGCATCAATGAGAGTATGTTAGTCTATGTGTGTCCATGACCTTAGCATCAACTACTCTAGAGGACAAAAAAACAGTAAGGGCTTTTGCTACGTGAGCATATATTTACAAAGAATGTCTCACAGGGGCTCTGTTGTCATCAATCCACCAAGGACAATATCGGCATTTGTGAGTTTCGTCATTTGTCGTAGGATTGCCAAGATGGCGGACACTTTTTTGAATGTTTACCTTTTTTATTGAAGCAGATGACATTAAAGTAGTTCTAAATTCACCAGACATTGTTCAACAAGCATGGAGGACTGAGGGTGCATGCACCTTTAAGGCACCATACTCTAACGATCTCACCTCATTCAAAGAAAAACCCCACTCAAAATTATGGATTTACATCAAGTTATTGAGCTAACCAGCATTTTTCAAGTAGGTTCACGCAACCCAACCAGCACGGCCAAGCAAATAATTGTGACTTTCTCAAGGGATGAGGGTGTGAAATAGCTTACTTTCGTCGGCATGTTATGAAGTCATCAAGGTAAAAAATTACATTTTTAAACATCTATAGATATCCACATTTTAAATGCTTGTTTATGTAATGATGGCAGCCATAAAATCGAGTTGCCTTGAAGCAGGTCGCTAATTATGTTAATGGTTTCGTTAATTCCATGCACAAACACTATTAAGGTGTTTCCATAACTTTGACGATACTTTGCAAAGGTCCTTTTTGGAGATACCAATAAATGTAGGTGCACGTTGATTATTTATCGCCGTATTCCTTTGTTCACAATTATACGGCTTCGTTTAAAATTCCTAAAGAAATGACGGAAAGGTCTCTTTCATGCACCCTCGAGGATCCCTTCGTCTTGCCGAAGCAGTGCTCTAAATAAAATAACTCTGTTAAAATTTCAACGCAAAAAGAAAGGACAACAGCATCCAGGAGTCCCTGCCCTGGCGGGTGGCCGTTGCATGTGCCGGATCCTCGTGTCCCAATCTTCAATCCCTCCCGAGGCCCAGCTGCGGTGACAGCCGAAACCTACATAATGTTGGAAAGGGAGCGGGGCATTCCAAAAAAAAAACCTTACCCCCCCACCCCCCACCCCGTTCAATAAGCGCTGAAACATTTACAAGCTGCCCACTGCATTTTGCATCAGGGTTGTGAGGAGAGCAGGCAGAATTGTGGGCTCTCGGGAGCAAACACGTGAGTGTCCGTGCGACCGTCTCCGCGTTACATATTTCGTCGGCGTTCTCCTAACACATTCCCTCCTGGCCGTGATTGACAGCTGAGCTTTTGTCTTTTTCGGATGGGTTGTAGGGAACAGGTTATTTTTTTAGAACATACTTAATAACATTCTCTGGTGCAAAGAGCACGTCCAGGGATACAACAAAAGTTGAATTACAGTGAAGTTATTTTCGTGGGCATTCTCTACCCCCACCGCCACCCCCATTGTCTGCACACCATTAATCTTATGACACATTGCTAATGAGTATAAGTATACACTATATAAGTAAATAGTGCTATCCTTGTAAAATAAAAAAATAGCTTTCATTCTGACAAAAAAGTTACAATGTGTGCAAATATGGTAATGTTAATCCTCCGAGTGTAATAATTTGCTAATTTTGGCAGAAATAACCTTGGTGTCCCCTTTATAGTAAAAAGGTTAAATATACAGCGAGGCATTCGCAAAAAAATATGAATTGACAAAGTTGGTACCAATATAATTGCACCGTGTTAAAATAATGACACAAGCTACCTTTTAGAAACGTAAAATAAGAAAATATGCACATTTTGTTTTACAGGCTACCATTTGAAAACCTTGTGGAATGCAAGCCCTTAATATTAACATTTCAAATCACTCTTTGAATAAAATTGTAATCTATAATTGTGTTCCCAAAAGAGCCATCAGGCGTGGATGGTGATGCCAAATGAAAGAATTCTAAACTTGCATTTAAATGTATACAAATCTCCTGTTACCAATTAACAACTTGCAAAAAACGATCTTTGAAATTAAAATGTCCATTAACATACTGCACGGTTACAACATCTAAGGCGGACTTGATTAAGTTGCAGCAGGATTTCTACCACAATATGTGATTTTGATTTTCCGGTTTTTAATACAGAAACAAATAATTCTAACATAATAAAAACAACATAAACGGTAAGTTGTATTAGTATAAATTACCTCCACCTATCTATTTTGATAAGCATCCAATATTTATCTTCAGAATGAATGTTGAACCGATGTATACTCTTTAAAAAAACTATTCGGCCATGCATGAACTTCTTTCGCACCGTACGTAGCCAACCGTGATAATCGTAAGTGCAGGGGAAGGACAACAAACAAAGCACAAAAAGCACTTCGAAAGAAATTAGTTTTCAATTTAGATTGAAAAGTGCATAGCTCCAGTGGCTTCCTAATATCGGAACGAAGAGCATTCCAGACGGCCGCAGAAGCGTATCTGAAAGCGCACGATGCGGTGACCGGCTTTGTTGAATGTTTAGTCACTATAAACATCCACCTACCTACCTATCTTGATAATCATCTGATATTCATCTTGTTAGGAATACATTTGTAACTGACTTATTCTCTTTGAAACCTATTCAGCCAAGTAGGTAGACATTGTGACATCACTGGAGTGGGTAATCACAGCAAGGTTAGAGAAATCATTATATGTTCTTGTCCAGTGCCATTGGGACATTCTGTTCTCTTCTCAGCTGTCCCCTTTCACCCTCTGCGCAGTGAGTCATGTTTGTGGGCGGTCTGCCGAGGTGGTAGTGGGGGGGGAGAGAGTCGGGACTGGTGGGGTGCGTGCGAGTCACATTCAGCTTGGCGACCTGTGATGCAGGAAATGAGTGGGGCACACCAGCAGCGCCCCCCCCCGCCAACTAGCCCCCGACCTTGCGCATGTTTAGTCTGTGTCTGCGTCCAAAGACGCTGTGGGGAGTGCAAGGCACAGTCTGTTTGTATAAGGCAGTGGCCGGGCTCGATCCGACCTCCCCGTGCTGCAAGTCAGCCCAAGGGTACAGCGAACTATGCGATCCTAATTCTTGTTTTTTTTGCATCTGCGACGTGAAAACCGATGTTCCCCCCTCCCCCGCCTCCCTCGCTCTCTCCGTCTGTAGCGCAGCAAAAAATATTAAACTGTGGAAATGGGTGCTTTGACCGAGTTTACGGTCACACAATACAACTGGGATGTATGCGGCGCCCAAATGTGACCGCATCTCAAGATGCCGCACAGAAAGAGTGGCAAAAGATTGTCAATGAATAACGAGGTTGTTTTCAATTGCGTAATAAAGCACGAGGTTTTGCGTTTGCTGTTCACGTAACGACTGGGTGTAAACACAAAAGGTAAGAGTGCAGATAAAAAAAATCACATGCTGGATGTATTGCGGTGATCATTCGAGTCGTCCATGATAACGACCGACATGACGAAAAACCCGCTCTGCTTCGTCGAATAAAAAAAAGATACATAACCCTAAAACACACCATTGCTTAGCTTGCATTTATCAAAGGAGATGGGCAATATATTTATTATAATAAATATTTTTTTTTGTCAAAGATTATGCAGAAGTACCCAGTAATATGAAAGCGATGCGGATCATTTCTGGTGAAATTTTTTTTGCATGCGGAAACATTTTTTTTTTCCCTCTAATGTTGTGTGTAAATGAAGCCTCAATTTGACAGAGAGTGAAGCTGACAGGTAGTAAAACGTCCCTTAAGTAATAAAAGCCACTTAAAATGAAGCGCACACAAATTCCACGTATCCTGATGAATACCATGCCACTGTTATCACATTGCGGAAAAGATGTGAGCTGCCTGAACATTGAAAATGAAGTGTGTAAACCGTGCGAATTTTGTCTGAATAAGAAATTGCATCGGAATTACTTCGCTATAATGAGGATGCTAATGTTGATCAAATATTACAATGCGTTTACATGTACTGCTTGCATTTATCACAGGTATGTAATGCAAAAATGTGTCAAGAGATATGTGGCAAGGACATGATTAATGTTGATATTGTATACTGTATAGTACGGAATAGTTTCGCCTTATTTTTTTTAGACATCGAACTTTAGACATTTTTGCAACAATTGCGGCTCTTCCGTATCGTCATTTTTTGATTTAAAGATATTACATTTAAGTAACTTTTATTGTTTTCACACTCAGTTAAAACTTTGAAATGCATTTTAACGAGCATTATTGCTTTTACATAAGTTACATAAAGTTATATCATTGAATGTAAATACTTTTGTATTTTGAGAAACTGAAGGGACGTGACATCCCGTGTTACAAACACGACGTCGTGTGATGGCACTAATGGTGAGAAATGTACGCAGATAATGCCTTGAAAGTGAAGCCACATTCTCCAATGTCGGATTATCAGAAATGTTGTATTTGGGCCTGATTTTTGTTGATTTTTCTGCTCAGTTTTAAAATCAGGAACACATTTCGACTGTCTAGAATTTATCAATGGAGGTCAATAAAATTTCATCAAGATTCCAATATTCAGAGTAAATTGGTTCACACACTGTGCTCTGAACACGCAGACCCGAGTTACATTCGCGGTGGATCGGCATCAAATGTACGTCATGAAGACGTGAACAACAGAAGGTTGGAGTGCTTTTAGAAAAAAAAAACGAATTTTGATTACGAATCGCAGCAAAGAATGTGCCTGACGAAAGTTTCAATCACTGATATCATATCACCCGCTGTGACATATGGATCCGAAACGTGGACACTGACAAAATAAAATGGAATAACATTTCTAAAGTTTACCAGAAGCTTGGTGAGATGCATTCTTGAAATTACACTGATAGACAGAAAAACAGATCACACGGATCAGGAAACAACAGGAATCAGGGATATAATGTGAACTGTTCAGGGAAAGTAAGTGAGTTTGGGCAGGTCACACTGCCACAAACGATGGTGGATAGTATATGGGTGATGGTTTGTATAATTGTTAAGCACTTGCGGCTGCAAATCAAAAGTATAGGCATATTCACAGTATAGACAGGACCAAGGTTGCGGAAAAGAGAGATGTACACTAACATGGCAACGAAGGTGGGGGGAAACGTGGGAGAAAGCACACAAGATAAGCAAACACACAGCACATGAGCACGAGTGCCAGTGAGGCCAAAAAGACCAACAAGTTCCGAGGAAAAATCCGGTGCACAAAGCGGATCCGTTCCATTCCACCACCCAAAGCACAATGTCCTACCACATAAGATGGGGCGCCGCAGTGGCGAGATGTTAACTACTTCGCCTGGTATACAGGAGGTTGTGGGTTCGATGTCGACCCTAAACGTCTATGGCCACGTGGATTTTTCTCCGAGTCCTCCGGTTTTTCCCTCCACATTAAGAATTAACATGCGTTTAGAGTATTTGGTTGCTATAAATGTCCACATAATAAGCCACTTCGTTGAGCTATCATTTGTGGCCAGGTAGATTCTGAAAAAGAGCTATACCTCTCAGTGGGCCTTATCTGGTAAAATAAAAAAAGTTTAGATTAAGATAGATGTCTGCCTTACACTCATCATTTCCCAGTGTGAAAAAAAATGCTGCTTTGATTTGCTTTCGCGAAACATCGATGGCTCCGTGTGCAGGTTTGATTCCCACTACAGACCCCAGTTATTCTACAGATGAACAACACCGATGATGGAACGGCAGCCAAAGGAGGGAAGATGCACGATAGGACGACCACAGTGGGGATGGAGTGATAAGGCCAGCTCATGCAGGAAATGAATTATGGCTTGGGAAGGCCATCATCCAGTCGCATGATGAGATAAATTAACATACAATTAGATAACGGGAAAGGGATACATAAGACACAGCTAATTAAGTTTCATATATTTTATGGAGAAGCTAACGTTTTTCAGAAGTTAGATCTTCAGAGTACAGTATTTGACAATATTTAATGATGTGTAACTGCACTATTCATTTTCAACATAATTAGAGCGTATGAAAAATGTAAAACAAAGGCCAGAGTACATTTTTCACACGGTATAATAGGCAAAATTTAGAAGTTGAGTAAAGTATCGCCTGCAGAAAAAAATAGCGAATATTTTTGCCTTAAGTTTAAAGTAAAAAAAAACCCGAACCCTTATAGATGTATAATCCCTGAGTGGGATGCTCGAGCAGCGTCAATTATGCATGACAGCTGACTAAATAAATATCCAGGAGCGTAAGGAATTTTGTAACAAAATTGATCAACTCGCATTAAACTTTTAAAGTTTTTTGAGGCAGAGTTCTTACTTTCATGGTCCCTAACAAATCACCTGGGATAATTTTAACAATTGTGTTCTTGCATGCAGTGTTTTATTGATAACTTCACATGCATTTCAGAGTGAAGAGATGGCATTTTATAAACAACCACTCCTTGTGACTACAGAAGAAAGAAATATAATACGATTCACAAGAATAAAATGCATCAGGTATACATGTACAGGTACAGCTCTACAATTGCTGATGGAAGGGCATCAACTCGAGGGAGCTCAAGAGAGCTCATGTGAAAGGTATTTGGTCTATTCTTCCACGTTGGTGTCAGGAAAAAACATACAATAAGAGAAACGCATTGTATGAAATACATTGCTATTACATTATAAATGAACAACATTGCAGCATGAATCTTGATTTAGTGCATTGTAATTTGAGCTTGTTATCCAACAGCCGCCTACTACAACACATGCATATTTAGGAGACATTGAATTGTAACAGTAAAGTGTCAACAATATTTTTTGGGATAATACGATTAAAGGTCGTGGATTCAATCACAAACCTGACGCCTGCTCTATATTTGGAGTTTGCATGTCTCTCTACCCGTGGTCACGTGGAATTGTTTTCTCCGGGTCCACCGGTTTTCCCCTCCACATTTAGAATGATGCGTTTAGAGTATTTGGCTGCTATACATTTCCACATGGTAATCCACTTCGTTGAGCTATCATTCGTGGCCAGGTCGCATCTGAAAAAGAGCTACAAAGCTCAGTGGGCCTTACCCGCTAAAATAAATAAACAATAAAATAGAGAGTTAAAGGTACAGGACTGCAATTGCTTGCTCACGCCACTGCTAGCATAAGGGGCCTCTCTCGTCAACGGGGATATTAGCCTACTATTCAACGCTGACCAGATGTCTCGACAGAGGTGGGAGTGCCCACACTTTACCCCACGACACGCATGATAGACTGCTGGATGAACATATTTAAATCGCTTTTGCCTAGTGCTGGCGCACTGGTCGCCAAATTGGACCGGCGACCAGTGCGCGAACACTTACACACCGCGGTACTATTACACAGGACTGGGTCAAGAAATTGCATTTCAATTGGCACGCATCCTGCTGTTGCAAATGCTCAGTGATTCTCGTCTTTGTTTCCAAAGTGGGATAATGCAAAATGTCAGCAGTTTACTTCAGCAGTAGCCGAGCAGGCTTCAAATTAACTTTGTTAGTTACATCCGACGCGTCTAGGATTTGCCTTGAACCGATTCAATCCCAGGGTATCAAATAAAAAAAGAATGATGAATGCACAGTATTGGCAGGTAATGCACTGGAGTGGTATGTGCAATTATTAGCATTATTGCTACTGGAATGTTGTCAAGAGCCGTCCAGTGGACTTTAATCGAGTTTCTTTGTGATTTTTAAATGATATTCTGAATACCTCGCAATAAATGCTGCTTGGGACCGTCTCTATCGACTCATCGTGGACAACGCAGAATGAAGTCACTATCTGCCACTAGGAGTGCTTTTATTTATATCAAAATAACATTCCCAAACAATTGTGGTTAATGAGAACTGTTTCAAAGCACATTAGAAGAACATGTTCTAAACAACATTTCAGAAATATAAGAACATATTTTTTCAAAACTTGTAAGACCTTCATGCACACTTGTTTCCGTAAAACTTCAGTGTTACAAATTTTAAATTGTGCAGATATCCAAAGGGAATTACCAAAGCAGTGTATTTCACGACGTGGCTTTTGGCTTTACATTCACGCGAACGCTTCGACCATCAGCTGTTGACGAAGGCCAACCCCCAGACTGTTGCCATCTCTAACGATGCCTGTACAAGAGCCCTTTTGGTGCCTGCATTTTCTGTGTGACGTTTGGTAAAAGTGCTCCCTCTCAATTCGGCTTCTCACCCCTTTTAGTATCTCCACATCGGCCCTGAATTTAGTTCGCGCGACATTTGCGTTTTTTTCTTCTTCTGGATAAAACGATAATTATTTATTGATGCATGATATATGTAAGTTTGCGGATGTCCACGACGATAGAGTTGTTGCGGAAATGCTTCTCTCTAGTGCAATAGCGCCACCAGGCGGTCAACAGAATTTAAATGCGCATTGAGTTTTGAACTTCACATTTGAAAATTAAACGAATGCTGCATTGTGCACACACATTACATGATGTACGCATGCACACATGGAATTATGAAGAATGACAATGGGGGATAATTTTAGTTTGCTGTAAATACAAAAGTAAAGGCTGTGTTTCTACTTAAAAAAATAAACACAACCATTGCATGGGAAAGACATCTAACGAAAACACGAGGATGATTACATTCTCTATTCCAACACAACTCTCTTAATTATTAATCGTGGAATATTATTTTGCAACGGATGTTTTCTGCTTTAACTAATTTAGCTGAAAGAGTAATATGCTATCACTTAGGCAGTGCTCCCAAATTGAAACATAACTTTCATTCTGTTTTAAAAAGGTCTCAATTGGCTCTCTGCTGACTTTAAAGAATATTGATTCAATCATAATAATAAACCATGGTTTATCCACTGCTGGATGAAAGCATATCCATGCCGCCACCATCATCCCTCACAGTCATCCGATGCCACAACCCATCTTACACACGAGCTGATTTAATGTCTCCATATCTGCGGTGAATTACACTTAAACACAAACGTGTTTTCTCCTTTGATTGCCTCTCCATCACCCATTAAATTCAGGAAATACTCGGACCAGGTACAAACTTGCTGGGTGTGAACACCTGCCCGTTAGGCACCAAGAATTCTGTTTTGAAAATTCATCATCTTCGTGATCATTAACCAATCGTCAATCCGCTGTGCTGTCAAGGACTCCAAGCCGTCGCCATGTCTCATGCTCCTGCGATGCAATGATCCACACAGCACAACACCTACGAGTCTCTATGACCCGCTCTATCTCCTCGGTAGACGTCTTGGACGCGTTCCATCTCTCGGCTGCCACTCGGTCATTCGAACATCGACCATCGTCATCCCTTCTAGCGATGTGTCCAGCCCAACCCCACTTACTTTTCTAAAACAGTCAATTTGATGTCTTTAAGTTAAGTTTTACTTGATTGATTTACTTGTGCTTATCTTTCTGTCTCTCAGCATACGTTCCAAAACGAATATCTCAAACGTTCTGTGTACTTTTAAACTTAGATTTTTTTGTTTACTTCGTGGAGTGCGATTCAATACAATCGAAACTAAAACTTTAACAGTGATTTTTTTAGCAATGAGAACTTGGGGAGTCCTTCATCCGAACAATGGATTAATCATGGCTCATGATGATAACTTAGGGGGTACCAATATTTTACTTTTTATTTAAAATTACAGACTGCATACTTGTGGTTTAAATGCATTATGTGGTTAAGAGCAATGTACATACTTTAAAAATTATTCATAAATAAAGCAATGTTTAAAAAAATACATTTTACTAAAGTATATATAAGCACCATAATACCTTATTTCTCAATTAAAAAAAGAGAAACATGCCCTTCAGTTTGAATATTTAATGATGTATATGCCAAAATAAGAGCTAGGGTAGCATTCCATAAAACATTCAATGTTTTTAAATTTTCCGCATACATTCACAGCGGAAATAACAGTGTTTGACATCTTGGCAAAAGTTCCCATATGGGTCACATTTTGAAGCAACAGCCTTTTAAATGTAAAGATACGAACTAGATTTTTGTACACGGGAATATAAAACGGAGATTTTGACAACATCGGGACCATTTTGTTCATTTTCATCTTTCTGTCATTATTTTTTTCATACCAATGTATTCATGTTGTGATCTTGGAAGTACATTATGAGATTATGAGATCATTGAACAATCTTGCAGAGCAGCACACCTCGTGCATCAGATAATTACTGCAGAAGAGATTGTTTTTTTACAGGACTGTATTTCCTTAATATTCTGTCAGGTCGAGCAGACCCTGGATATCAGAGCAACCCATGGGAACAAGGCCAGGTCTCCATATATCACAATCTTTCTTCTAGCGTATGGCAAGTATGTGTAAATTATACATCCAGGTTTAGGTTTGTGAGCCATGTGACAGCTTCGGGAGTGACGCGACTAATATTGACCGGTCTGCCAGAGAACAGCGGTAGAATGGAGTTGTTCGCGATATGATCCATTGTTTGGTTCGGGTTACCGCAGTCACACTGTGGGTCATCTTTAATGTTCCACTTGTGCACGAGGGATGCGATTTTCTTGGCAGATCAAAGCCACGTGGAGCAAGAGTGTGCTTGCGTGAGAAGTTGCCCTTCTCTCCTCCATCAGAGTAAGGTATGTTTAACTTATTTCGCACCGTACGTAGACAACCGTGTAAGCATGTTGCTTTCATGAGAACTGTGCACATATAACGTGTGCTTATTCGAATCCGAATATGTATTTATACTGGAGGAATCCGGTGAGCTATAAAGCTCTTTTTTCACATTTTTCCAGTAGACCCAGTTCATACTGAAAAGTAACAACCAGCAGCTTGTACGCCACGGCTGTTAAAAACATTTCCAGTAAGCTATCAAATAAATGTTTTAAGAGCATACCCTGCTGTTAGTCCACTTTTGGGTCACCGTGGTACATTCTGGAGCCCTGACGTTCCGCGCCGCTTTCGGTTTGTTCCAGACTGTAAAATATACCCGTGTGCATGAGGCTGTCTATGGCCCTGGCAAGAGGTCATTTAACAAAGTGTAGTATTGTATCTCAAGTTTCTGCATCAGCATTTTCTGACCAAAAAAAACAAGGGAAGCAATGTACAGGGCACACAAATGGAGAAAACAAAACAGTTAACATTTTGTACAAAAGCTCTCCTTTGATTGTCTTGTTTTTCTTTCTCAGCGAATATTAATTCCCCTAGAGCATGTGCAGCACAATGGGACATTGTGTCAGCGCAGAGTTTAAATTTCTATTTTGTTTTTTTGCCACCAGTCCGTTGTGCCTTTTAGTTCACCATCACACGTTGGGTTATGGAGTTTGTATTTGGCCTCCACTGCCATCTGCTGAACAAAATGAGGTTTACTAAAACATTGCCACCTTTCCGAAATGGAGAGCAAAATGTGCAATCAATAACAGCACGAGCCAAATACACGTGAAACGTGTTTTGTAATGTAAACTCATGTTAGATCATGTAATCATTTGTATTGTTTTAGGTAAAGTCACTTGGTGGATGAGGGCCTCTCCATGCTGTGACCATTACCCACGTCACAATCATTTTTACTCCCGCACATGAGTTGATGTCAGGGGCCGTCCATAAATGACGTCACGCACCTGGTGGGGGGGGGGGGGGTCAGACGTTTGTGACGATGTGTGACGAGGTGGGGGGGGTTGAAAAATGTGACGTCACATCAAAATGCGCAACTTTAAATAAATATAGACAACACGTTCTACTTAAATAAATAGACGTTTTAATAAATGTTTTCTCCTACAACATCAGTGCAGCGCCACATTAAATACGCACTACAATGACAATAGTGTAAAGCGACAATAGTTTGAAGCATGTTTTATTTTGGGGGGGGGAGGGGCAGAGCTTTGTGACGTCATATTTGAGGGGG